CCTCTATTGGCCAACTAATCAATAGTAACCTTAGCTTTTGAATAACCTAATTTGATCATTATACTTACAAACCTTCATAGTGAAATATCATTGTCTCTGTTATCTTTATTCACAAATCTTAATATTATTAGTATTGGTTAAACATCATTATTAATCTCTCCAATACATGATACATTCACTTTTCATTCATCCCACCTTGCTAATTTTTCATACAATATAGTCTTCCATTAAACATTTGATCAAATTATAACAGTACTATTATTTATCTCTCACCCTATTTGACCCATATTTATTCGGATCATGGGTCACTTAACAGTTTTATTTAATCAGAATGGGTTTGTGGAGATTTTAGAAATTTTCATAGATTGAAATCATGAGTCAATTGAAGCTAGACCACCATTGAAAACCTGGAAGTACTGGACGGCCGTTTCGTTCTAGTATGGGACTCCTCTGCAGTGCGCATCCACGTTCCCGCACCCCTCGAGATTCGAACCCAGGACCTGTCAGTCTCGCTCACGAGCGCTTAATCATTAGGCCACTGAGTCGGCATCCAACGGTGTTAGTGTCTAACTTCAACGAATCTCGCAGGGGATTGCGAATGCGCACTGCTGAGGAGTCCCATACTAGGATGAAACGGCCGTCCAGTGCTTCCAGGTTTTCAATGGTGGTCTAGCTTCAACTGACTCATGATTTCAATCTGTGAAAATTTCTAAAATCTCCACAAAACACTTCTGATAATAATCATCTGCTCACTAGTGACTGACTTCAAGAGATACTCCTGGAGTTCTAGTGGGAAGCCGTTACCAGTGGAGTACAACCAGGTCCGTTGTGAGATATCAGCTGACTGAAGACAATGGTATATGGTGGCGCAACTTCGTGGATTGGTTGAAGTTAGACATTAGCACCGTTGGATGCCGACTCAGTGGTCTAGTAGTTAAGCGCTCGCTCACGAAACTGATAGGTCCTGGGTTCGAATCCCGCGGTGTGCGGGATCGTGGATGCGCACTGCTGAGGAGTCCCGTGCTAGGACGAAACGGCCGTCCAGTGCTTCCAGGTTTTCAATAGTGGTCTAGCTTCAACTGACTCATGATTTCAATCTGTGAAAATTTCATTTAACATATATCCAGATTAAAGTTAACATTCCATATAAGTCATATCAACATGAACAATTTTATTCTATTTTGTTTGACAATCTTACCACTCATATACTTTAACTTTAAACGATGTACTTTGCCCACAGTCTGACCATTTTTCGCGATTAATAATATGAATCTGTGAATTGTAGAACCTGAAGTGAATTTATCGATAAGACTAGTCTTTTATAAAAATAATAATTACATGATTTACGCCAGTTTACAGCCATGATCAGATTGATATAAATGGTGACATTAAATGTCGAGAACATACATGTGATCTAAGATAGCTTTAAGTAAACTAGTTCAGTAATTCTTTAAGTAGTACATTTATTAAAGTAATCCAATACATCAGCCGAGAAATTTAGTTTTTCTTAAGTGGACAGCCCGTTGATTTATGAACGGTGTATTTAAGGTCATTTCCTATGCCAGAAAGAATTAATGATAATTATTTACAACTAGAGAAAGTTGAATGGAAGCATAGATCACGGAACAGCAAAGCAATAATTATCAGAAGAGGTTTTGTGGAGATTTTCGAAATTTCAGTAGTTGAAATCATGAATCAACTGAAAGCACTGGACGGCCGTTTCATCCTAGTATGGGACTCCTCAGCAGTGCGCATTCGCGATACCCCCAGCGAGATTCGTTGAAGTTAGACATCAACACCGTTGGATGCCGACTCAGTGGCCTAATAATTAAGCGCTCGTGAGCGAGACTGACAGGTCCTGGGTTCGAATCTCGAGGGGTGCGGGAACGTGGATGCGCACTGCAGAGGAGTCACATACTTGGACGAAACGGCCGTCAAGTACTTCCAGGCTTTCCATGGTGGTCTAGCTTCAATTGACTCATGATTTCAACTACTGAAAGCAATAATTACCAATATGTGTCAATCAAGTTACCATAATGCATGTTTCATGTGACACAGTGATATACTATTGATGTTAGATATTATTCAAATTAGTTAAGGTTGCTAGGGACAATGTTAACATAAAGTGACAGTAGGTAGGTGCTTTTACTTAGGGAATTCACTAATAAGGATGGCTAAACATTTAAAGTTTCTATAATCTCACTTATGGAATAAGATACACTTACAGGTGCTCGAACATTTCATGCATTATCAGACGAGCAGTATGCATCAATGCAGCGAAAAAAGAATAGGGGTGATCATAAAGTACGGATTGATTGTGGTAAATTATTCCACAGTCTAGAAAGTTTACAGGTAAAGTAATCCTCATGGAGAGATGAATTAGCAAGGGTTTGTTTCACTAATGACGAGGAGTTACGGATATCGTAATGAGAAGTCTCTGTATATTGAATTACTTGATTAAATATAAAGGATATTTTATTAAGTATTTTGAAGAAAAAGATTTAGCATGAATCTCCTCTACCATAAAGAGTAAAGCTCAAGTTTATTACATTTAGAATTATAATTCAACGTACAGTCAGTTCCAAGAATACGAAGTGTCAATCATTCCTGTAATGATTCCAGCCTTCGTTGATCCTTTATGCGCGCATTACTAAGAATAAACAGGCCGTATTCTAGAAGTGGTCGAACACAAATTTTGTGCATTAAAATACTAGACATAATGTTATAAAGGTTTCGAATTATGTAACCTATAAGACGTTGAGACTAGAAAGTCTGGTTCAATATCTGTTCTGTAAACAAATCGTAGGAATATCTAAGTCCTCAGTCAACTACTACTGTATGTAACCTAGATAACACTTCACTGTTTATGGTAAGAACTAAGTTGAATGATGTGACATCGAGGCATATCCATATACATTTAGTTGTATTAAGCTCCAGCTGCCATTTATAGCACCACTGTATTCATTCTTTGCATGCCCAAACACCGACTGCCCCGACAAGCGATGTTTTATGGTGTCGGAGTAGATTAGAAGAAAGATAGGGTAACTTCTGGACCTCTTTATGGACCAATACTATATGTATATTTTTGTCGTATAATTGTTAAATAACTAAACTATACATATTCATATTCCTCTTATCATAAGTTTTATTTTGATCTATGAACTGTTATGTTACGATTTACCATTCTTCAGTTATACCTTGTCTATCAATTACTATCTCCCTTATTCACAGCCACGTTTGCCTAAATCTTGTACAAATGTTGTTTCCTATTTTATGGTACGATGTGGTCTGTCTGGTTGGTATATAAACCCAGTATATTTGAAATACATGATTCATATCACAGAGGCTGCGATTAGTGTTAACAGGACTTAACAGGATGAGCTAGGCGGTAAGCACCACCGATAAGGACTCTAGACTGCTCGTACGGGTTATATGTGTCATTTGTCCAATCGATAAATCAATGTTTTCTAATTGGTGGGCACAAGTTATCACAGAGGTGAACACTTTTCAACATAAATGCATATCGAACTACTTAAAAAATAACTTCATTTAGAAGAGAAAACAATATATTTGATGAACTTCTGCATTCAATAATTATTAATAAAAATAATAATAATAATGGGTTTATTCATTAGTCTGCCCAAACACCGACTGCCCCGACAAGCGATGTTTTATGGTGTCGGAGTAGATTGGAAGAAAGATAGGGGTAGCCAGATCAAAATATGGCACAAATCCATAGTCACTGACAAGTGCACTGAGCCATGTTCGTAGGTGTACACTACCTGGTTAAGATATCCGCGAGACGATAGCAACCGATGTTTAGAAACCTTGAATGACATCGCTCAAAATCGTTTGCAATGGTGCAGATGCATCCACTCTTTGTATTCTGCCAAATTCCAATCTTCTCAATTCTTTATGTACCTTCTTTTATCTTTCCGAATTTATTTCACTGTATTATACTCGTTGAATAACATGTTCAAACCCTAATGTTTCCAATTACTGCTTATACTTTAACTATCTCTACCACTACGGGTTTGAATCGACAATTGTATCTCTGTGCTAATATGGTATGACAACTCGAACTGATATACGTACGTACGTACATACTAAGTTCTACGTTGTTACTAACTGACTGATTGAATATTTTCCAAAACTATTAACCAGTAAATATTTCTATTGAATGAACCTTCTATGAATCTTATAACTAATATCAATGGAATAAGTTGTTTCTTTTTTTTTCTTTTCAAATGGAAATTTTCTATTTTAATTAAAGCAAAATATTCACAATAATAAATATGGATATTTATATATCTGTTGTTTGATTAAAGAATAATAAGTAATTAAAAAACAAAGAAGAAAAAGGAAGAACAATTCATGAAGAATATCTACTTATCTGCTATCAATGTATGTATACATATATATGAGATGGTGGAGAAGATTTGTAACTCAGGTGGATGATTTTGGTGGAGTTTTTTTCTCTGAAGTTTGTGCTGATGATGTCGTTCAGAAGAACGATGAAAGCTCCACGACCAAATCATCCAGCTCAGAGAACAAAACTCCATCAAAATACATATACATACATGTACATTCCCCCCCCCAATGAGTACACTAAAACAAAAACAAAAAAAAGTAAGTTGAATGTGTTACAATTTTTGCGATTGTTTGTAAACGTGAACGAACGAAAGAAACAATGTAAAACAATAATAGGGATGAAAATATGTACCATGTTTACAATATACATATGCATTATATATATATATATATATATATATATATATATATATATATATATATATATATATATATATATATATAGTAATTTGATGATGACAATACACAACCACCAATCTTGATTCATACAATATATAATCTAATAATATCAAATTTGTAAGTAATAAATGCGAATAAGTTTTAAAAAAACACAATGATAATAATAACAACAGAGGAACTGAAAAACTTGACTAGTTTTATCTTTTAAAATACAAACCAAAACAATATAATCATTGCCAAGGTTTTGAAGGTTGATTGTAAATATTCACAGTTTGAGAATAGAATGGATGCATTGAAGACCATATATATGTAGGTGGAACAGTTGAAGTAAGTTGAGGAGGAGGATATCTAATAGTCATGGGAAGTAAACCGGGATTAGGGGTATGAGAGATGGCAGGATTTACACATGGGATAATAGGTATACAAGGTGGGCCAAGTAAAGGTTGATCTCTGGGTTTATTACGATAATGTGGAGCAATCTCAGGACGATACTCTGAAGAAGGTTGATGAATAGTATTCGATGATACATCTTGAAAACGTGGTAGATTATGTCTATTGATATCATCGTCAGGTAACAATGACGAAGAACGTGGAGAATATGCTCTTTTACGACTGGTCTTAGGAAAATTAGAATTTGATCCTCTTGGTCGATAAAATGAATATCGAGGCTGAGATTCAGAACCACTGGATGTGGATGAATCTACGTAAGTGCCTAGTAGGGAAGGACGACGATGATGACGCTCACTAGACCAGTTTGTTGGAGGTCGTCGATAATCAGTGTCCTCTTTGTGACCATTGAAAATTTCATTTATTTACCTCAGCAAATAAACATTGATACAAAGGGGAACCAAAATATATATGTGCCACATAAATAATTGAATTACTGTGTGAGCTGTGATACTGCCCGGGTGCTCAAGCCAATGCAGGTGGTTTTATTAGGGATCCATTAACATAATTTTTGGTCTAAATATCTAATTCACAATGCAGTGGAACTACATTGAGAGATGCGATCCCAAGGTAGTCTATGATCAAGAACAGGTTCATAAGCTAGTTGTTCTCTCAAGAGCCTGAAGTTTATATGAACCACTGAATTGAAACCAGTATTTTTCAATTCCCCTGATTGGATCATTTGCTTCCACCAACCCAATTTAAGCGCCGGAAATTCGTTTATCGTTCGCTCGATAAATAAAAACGCTCTCGACACGAGTAAAACTCTCTGGTAGTGGATATATACGCGTGGTTATATAAGAGCATTTCGAGCGGAAGATAGGAATCTCCCTCAACCTCGGCCATACCGGATAATTTAGGGGCCTTGTAACCAAGACCGATTATTATAGTTTTGAAGAACTGTGAGTGTAACCCCAGAGCTCAAGAAATAACTGCTTGAGGCCGAACACACACGTCGTTTTGCTGAGAAGTCCTCAATGTACTATATCTCTATGTTCAAAAACTTTACCACGGGCGACAAGAATTTATATGGTAAGGTGAGGTGTGATATGTTTAGGTTGACCTGTTTTAAACACTTCCTTTCGTTATAGGAAGGCAGCTTTGTTTGAGACACTGGTTGACTGGAAGAAATACATTATTGTTGGGTCATCATGGTAGGTAAACCCGAAAACCACGCCAACGGAGTTCAGCTTCCAAACTTTACCCAAAACTGAACCACTGGACTTAAAGTTCTCCACAACAAACCCATCAGGGCTCCTTGCTTTCGGTTACTTTAGATTACCTATAACCTTCTCAACTTCATTAACAGCATGGAAATTATTTTAATCTCTTATTCTGGTTTGCTCAGAGGTTAGTTGGACTGTTCTATGAAGTGTTTCGTCCATCGTTCTAATGATCTGAACTGAAACTGGGTCACAGTCTCACTAACATTTGACGTTTTTATATCTGTTTTCTCGACCAGTTGGAATAGTTGTCTGTTATCTATCACCTCTACCCTTCCCACCTCTTTTGTTTTTGCTGTCCACTGCTGCTTACGAAGACTGTGTAAACTTTACGTCATTCTACGTTCAAGTTGTCTTTGTTCTTCATAGTGTTTTGAACCTGATATGACGAGTTTTCGAGCATCTATCACTCCAGAAAAGGCTGCTAAAGCCTACTGATCTTTTTTAATTTTTAAGTCACTAGTGCTTAGCCAAATGTTCGAATGTCATCTTAACCGACATCAAGGTGAACATCACCTTGACGACAGACCAACTGAAAAATACTTCTGAGTTTTTCGTCATCAAGTTGAATTCCAAAGGTTTTCCTTCTGTGGATTTTCCGTATATAATAAGATCCAAACGATCGTATGCTTGCTTTAGAGTATCATTAGATGCTAATTGTGCGCTCCAGAATGATCTGTAGCCTTTTGCTGAGCTTCCTCTATGGCGGTTGATGCGAACGTGATCTACACGTGTACGTTGTTAGAGCGACATTGAGGGCATCCTATTAAATGAAATTCTTGTGCCTAAAGTTGGTATCTCCTAATAATAATTAGTTGTCCCAGCACAATTATAGCAGATAGTCGCCGTTGTCTATTCGCTGAGTTGTGACACTGTAGAATCCACATGAGTGTCTTTCACTTTAATTAAAACTACCTACTTGGGTCTTAAAGTCACCTGCTACAATCAGGATATTAGAACGTTTGTAATTTTTCAAAAAAGTAGAAAGGTTCCTGTAAAACTTATCCTTTACATATCTGAAGTGAAGTAACTGGGAGTGCACACAGAAACGATTAAGTGGCAATTGGGTGTCCTTATCTTTCTGTTTTCTTACAACCCGGACAGCGCATAAACTAATCTTAACAGCAGTCCATTTCAAGAGAACCTGTCCCTCTTAAGAGCTTAGTGCTATACCTACGCCAGCGAGGCTATAAGAGGTGGCAGTTAAATCTTCAAATACACGAAACATATATCGAGCCGGTCCTCTTGTAGTGTATGAAAACTCAGGTATGGTAAACCAGTATACTATTTTACGCAAAAGTACAGTGCATTCGTAAAATATGAAAATCATACATTGAATACATCATTTGTATATCTTCCTCGAGTTTTCCTTTACAATCTCGACTATTCTTCGAATCTTGTTGTTATTCCGATTGCTCGCAGTTTCCCTTCTTCTTCCCTTTATTTCAATCTTCTGTTGGTACACATCCCACTTCCAATTGCTACTACACATTACTTATGTCTATCCGCGCAAGTAGCGCATACCACATGGTAAGGTTAAGTGAATGATTAGACTCGAATCATGTAATCATGTTTCGGAGATACAGCATACACCGAAGATTAAAAGAAAGTTCAGTCAGTAACAACGTAGAACTTCGTACGTATGTACATCAGTTCGAGTTGCCACACCACATTAGCACAGAGATGCAGTTGTCGATTCAAATCCCGTAGTGGTAGAGGTAGCAAGAGTATAAGCAGTAATCGGGAAGATTAGGGTTTGGAGATGTTATTTAAAGAGTATAATCCAGTGAAATAAATTTGGAAAGAGGAAAAAACGGACATGAAGGATTCAGAAGATTAGAATTTGGGAGAACACAAAGAGTGGATGCATCTGCGCCATTGCAAACGATTTTGAGGTATGTAATTCAGGGTCTCTAACCATCGGTTGATATCATCTCGCGATCCCCAACCAGGTAGTCCACACCTACCAACATGACTCAGTTCACTTGTCAGTGACTTCATGGACTTGTGCCATGTTTTGGTTTGGCCGCCCCTAGCTTTCTTCCAACCTACTCCTATACCACTGAACATAGCACGTCGAGGCAGTCGATCGTTGGGCATACGTAACACGTGTCCAAGCCATCTCAACTGATGAAGTTTCACTACTTCATCAATTGATTTGCCATCCTTACCTAGTACCCGTTTCCTAACAACTGAGTTACTTACTCGATGGTCCCATGATATACGAGCAATATTTCGAAGACACCTATGATCGAATACTAGCAACCTACGAATATCCTCTACTCTTACCGGCTACGTTTCACTGCCATAAAGTAGGACGGAACGAACTGCTGCGCAGTAAACCCGTCCTTTGGTTGATAGACGGATATCTCGCCTACGCCATAAATGACGCAAGTTGGCGAAAGCTAGTCGAGCCTTCTGTATCCGTGCTGAGATTTCGTCACATACTAAACCACAAGGGCTGATGAGACTTCCAAGATAAGTGAAGTTAGTGGCAGCCAAACTAAAACATAGCATTATTACACGAGGTTACTGACTCTCGGTCTAAGCCATGTTTGTAGATCCAGAATACCTGGTTGAGGTCCGCGTGATAACTTGTTCAGTGGCCCGAGACTTTGGGTCACACTGTTAAGAATCGTTCACATTGGCATAAACTGACTTACTCTCTGTCTTCTTCTCGATCTCAAACTTCAGTGTCTCTGCAAACCATATTCCCAAGGTGTAGTTTTTTTCTTATCATCCGTGGTAAATTATTTCTATCTCTATTGTTATTTTAATCCCTTTGTGCCAATCACGTGTGGAAACTTGGACCAACGCTCATCTGTATCAAGGTCTATGTTGATGTCTGTCTGTCTATCATTTTACCAGTGTAACCTGTTTTGTCCATAAAAAATACCTGCTCTCATTTGTCAGGTTTACTTATAGTCAATATGTTGTTGTTTTTTCTCGTTAGTAAATTGTCTTCATGCCGTATCATCAGTAGACATTTTATGTCAAGCTTACCAAATTTGTTCTATTTGACAGATACTAACTAATTCTTCCTACCATTTATTTGTTTCTTTTCAACTCATCCCCCCAAATGCTCTGGTACGGCCGAGAGTAGGGAGAATCCACTCTCCATCTCCAAATGCTCTCATATGGCCATGCGTATATAGCCTCTGCCAGGGAAGTCCTACTCATTGCCTTCTCGCGGAGGGGTGTTTTTCACGAAATTGAAAGGACGAAAAGCGAATGTCCGGCGCTTTAACCGGGTTGGTGAACATGGAGAGTCCACCTGGGGGAGTTGGAAAACTCTGATTCCGAACCAATGGTGCACATGGGCTCTAGTATCCTGAGGGAACAAATGGCGTATGAACCAATCGCTGGTCACCGGCTACCATGGGACTGCATCTCCTTACGATGCTTCACCGCTATGTGGATCAGACATTTAGGTGGAAGTCTCTGAGTGTGGCCTCCTAAGAAAACAACCTGCTTCGACTTGAGCACCCGATCAGTATCACAGTCCTCACACAAATCGAATGATTTATGTGGCGCATATGTATCTGGTGCCCCTATGTACCAGTATTTATGTGTCCAAATAAATAAATAAATGACAACTCATTCCGTATCTCCAATATGCTACATTCACACTTCAACTAATTACTCACAAATCCCTTGTTTGCGTTCCACTCAATTAAATCATGAAACCTACTTCCTTACACCTGCTACCCAGAGAATTGGTTTAGATAAGTCCACATTGAATGGGACGTACCTTTTACCGTAGGTGGTCATCAGTTTTCGGTTTTCCGACTGTAATATGTGATGTGACCCGATGAAGCCCAATTGATTACTCACACAACTTTTTTAGAGGTATGTGTGTTGTTGTATTTCGTTGATTTGTGGTTCAGTACGGGGTTACAATGCTTGCGGAATTAGTAACAATTAAAATAATACCATCGGCACAACATTTTAGAGTCTTAGGTAACGAACCATATTATTCAATTTGACTTAAGATTATAAGTTTGAAAGCTCCAACATGTAGTTTAAGACGCAGTATCAAAGACCAGGAGTAGCGTATTGCGAAGTTGAATTTTTGGCAGTAATGGCGATTAGGGACAAAGATTAAGCCATAGAAGGTTTGGTTGTAAGGGCAGAAGAAATATTAAGATGGAAGGAAGGGATTTAATTGTAAACAAAGTACTCTCCAGTGTTGTAAGAGTAGTGTGGCTGGTTGGCATCTTTGGATGCGCACATTATAATAGGCAAATTCTTCTTGTGACTTGTGTAGAGCATATGTATTCGGTGCCCCTTTGTACTAATATTTATGTGTTCAAATAAAATAAAATAAATTAATCTTCTTAGGATATTTTGAAGGGAAACTGGATTAATAGCGATTATTTTTCGACTGAAATAAACCTCGACCGAAGCAAAAAATAAATTTAAATGACAGGAAATTTACTTGTTTTCCGTTGTCCAAATAATTTGTCTGTAGATGTTCCCATCGGTAAAGCAGAAGCCACTGCAAATGGTGATACATTTGAAGTAGGGGTGACAACATCATTGTTTGATTGACAACAACACATTTCACTATATGGATATCGATGTAAACTATGAGGGGTAAGTAATATTGCATGTAGAAAATTCCTATCCAAATTATCAACAACAGGTATGCCTGAAAAACAGTAATGTAAATAACTCATTAACAAAATAGAAGATTGAAAGGTAACAAATTATATTTACAAGTTATAATACGAATTTACAGATAATGAAACATTCAATATGAGAATGTCAATGTAGCAGAGGTATTATTCACATCACACAAATACACTTTGTAGAAGCATATCTAAATACTACTAATGATATAAGTTTATCAGTATGTGGATTTATGGAGATTGTAGTATTTCCAAAGTTGAATTCATGAGTCGATCAAAGTTAGACCACTATTGAAAACCTAGAAACACTGGACGGCCGTTTCGTTCTGCCATGGGATTCCTCAGCACTGCGTGTTTGCGCCCAACGAAGGTCCTTGGTTCGAGTCTCATGTATTGTGATCGCGGATGTACACTGCTGAGGGGTCCCATACCAGGATAAAATGACCATCCAGTGATTCCAGGTTTTTAATGATGATCTAGCTTAGACCGACTCATGAATTAAACTGTGAAAATATAGGTTTATTTACCATTATATATTAAATAATAGTAGAGTTTCGATCGACAAAAAGGATATTCAATATGACAATAAATATTTATCTTATATGAACTTTAATTTTGCACAAATTAGTTTCACTTTACAGTGTAAAGTGTTCAAGTTTCTACTATACATTAAAATAATTATTATTAGATTACATGTTCGTTAATTCGTGAATAGAATGTTGCAGTTTTGAGGTTGTTATATCGCGATGATAATAATGAATGGTAACTTTTGGGACCTCTTTATGGACCAATACTATATGTATATTTTTATCGTATAATTGTTAAATAACTAAACTATACATATTCATATTCCTCTTATCATAAGTTTTATTTTGATCTATGAACTGTTATGTTACGATTTACCATTCTTTAGTTATACCTTATCTATCAATTACTATCTCCCTTATTCACAGCCACGTTTGCCTAAATCTTGTACAAATGTTGTTTCCTATTTTATGGTACGATGTGGTCTGTCTGGTTGGTATATAAACCCAGTATATTTGAAATACATGATTCATATCACAGAGGCTGCGATTAGTGTTAACAGGACTTAACAGGATGAGCTAGGCGGTAAGCACCACCGATAAGGACTCTAGACTGCTCGTACGGGTTATATGTGTCATTTGTCCAATCGATAAATCAATGTTTTCTAATTGGTGGGCACAAGTTATCACAGAGGTGAACACTTTTCAACATAAATGCATATCGAACTACTTAAAAAATAACTTCATTTAGAAGAGAAAACAATATATTTGATGAACTTCTGCATTCAATAATTATTAATAAAAATAATAATAATGGGTTTATTCATTAGTCTGCCCAAACACCGACTGCCCCGACAAGCGATGTTTTATGGTGTCGGAGTAGATTGGAAGGAAGATAGGGGTAGCCAGACCAAAATATGGCACAAATCCATCAAGTCACTGACAAGTGCACTAAGCCATGTTCGTAGGTGTACACTACCTGGTTAAGATATCCGCGAGACGATAGCAACCGATGTTTAGAAACCTTGAATGACATCGCTCAAAATCGTTTGCAATGGTGCAGATGCATCCACTCTTTGTATTCTGCCAAATTCCAATCTTCTCAATTCTTTATGTACCTTCTTTTATCTTTCCGAATTTATTTCACTGTATTATACTCGTTGAATAACATGTTCAAACCCTAATGTTTTTAATTACTGCTTATACTTTTACTATCTCTACCACTACGGGGTTTGAATCGACAATTGTATGTGTGTTAATGTGGTATGGCAACTCAAACTGATATAAGTACGTACGAAGTTCTACGTTGTTACTGACTGACTGATACATTAATCTGTTTACACGTAAGATTACATCAAAATGTCCTCAGGACGAATTATACAAATATTGCAACAAATTCGTATTTTTTTATATTCATCTAATTTGTGAATATTTCAAAATAAATTGTAGTAAACCGCAGCTAATTTTATTTGCACAAGTCTATGGCTACTTTAGATTCGTTAACAGTTTATTTCTTTGTAATCATATATATATATATATATGTGAATCTTGGTTTCCCGTGATGTAATTAATTCTCGTTTGTTATTGGAAAAGACAACTAAAGGGAAAACGGAAAATATGTCAATGACTATGGATGATTGTTTCAATTTTACAGTAATTAGCTTTATAACAATTAGGTAATATAAGCTTCTTATCAAAACTTTTGGGTGTATTATGAGGTGGAAAAAACAACACGTATGTAATTAGTAAAAATAGATTAAAAAAATAAGTGAATTTATTGTAGTCTTTTCATGAGTGTAAAATTGGTCATTCACAGGGTTTGAGCAACCATTATTTACATACAAAATAATAATAACAATACAACATGGTAGCATATATATTGAATTATATACATACCTATTGACTTGGAAAATTGACATTCAGGGAATAAAAACATGATACTAGATTCATCACAAGGCATAAAGACAACACCAGCCTAAAATACAAGAAACAGTACAAAACTTGATAGGGGTTTGTAATTAATTGTAAAAACGTCATATATACAGTATCGATATATGATGACTTAAACGAGTCTTATTTTCAGCCGTGATCAGTTGTTTCTATCTGATAAGTTCTTTTACTCATCAGTCCAATTCGGTTACAACACACACTTTCTACAGAAAACCAAGCCCATTATAAAAATGACAACACTGAAATAACGCTAGAAAGCTGTAGTTTGACGTAACCCGATAATTTGACACACAAAGCATTGGTATGCATATATTTGCCCTTCTAACGCAGACAAGGGTATGTAGGTTGGAACTTTAGCTAGGAGCTAAATCGACTTCGTCCGATAGCGTGCCTTGACTAGAATGGCTTGCCTACCGTCTTACCTTGAAGCGGTATGCAAACATGTAAATTAATTGAATGAGACATTTGATGGTCTTGTTCAGTCTCATGCGCAATGATAAAGATGAGTTTGTATTAGCTTTTTCTGCATCCTCAGCTTTGATGTTATTTTGTACTTGTGTTATATGTCCTCTATGTTTAGGTATGAAAACCATGATTAATTCGACCATTTCGACATTCACTTCACTGTTATCCCAGTGGAACATGGGCCGCCGACCAGGATTCACAAACCAACTATATTCTGCGCTATGCTTTCTAGTTGTTTCCAATTTTTATTCATTCTTTTGAAATATGCCTCCAATTCCCTGTGCAATGTATTCCTTGGTCTTCTTCTTTTCCATTTCCCTTCAGGATTCCAAGTTAGGTTTTCCCTCGTAATGCAGTTCAATGATTTTCTCAGCGTACGCCCTACTCACCTCCGGCGTCTTTTCCTAATTTCCTCTTTAGATAGAAGTCAGTTTGTTTTCTACCATAGTGGGTTGTTCCTGATGGTATCCAGTCAATGGATTTGAAGTACCTTGCGTAGACTATTGTTTATAAACACGTGCTTTTTTAATAATATGGAACGTTTAGATGTACATAATAATAATTTTTTGTCCCACTGTTCTTCATACAAATGTATGGCAATCTTGGAGCGACGCACTTCTGTATCAAATCTTATTCGTGGTAGATTGACAGAAATCATGGATATACAACTTAATAAAAATTTTAGGTTCATTTTAGACTATCTTGCCTTTTTCTAGTCATTGGGCTTATTATACAATTTCCTATTATAAAAATAAAGTGACTTGAAGTGATTCATCCAGTAACTTATTAAAGTTCTTATTTTATTTCGCTCAGTTAAACATTATAAAATATGATCTGGATGTGTGTATTGGGTGTGATACACATAATTGTCATTGAAAATAAGTTATTTGATAAACAAATTAAAAGTAGAAGTTAGACTTGTACACCACTGAATCCCTGCTCGGTAATCTATAGGTTAAGCATTCACGCGCGAGACTGAAAGTCATGTGTTCGATTCCCGACTGCGGGGCCGTGGATGCGCACTCCCGAGGAGTCCCAATACTACGAAACGGCAATTAAGTGCTTCCAGATTTCCAATAGTTGTCTAGTTTAGACCGGTTAGTGATCTTAATGAAATTAAAAGCAGTTTGAGGAAAATTCATTTATAACGAACAATTAAATATCTATTTATTCACCATTGCACTATTCTGTAAGGCTTGACATAATTGTGCCATTTCTGTCCGACGTCCACCAGATTCATCGTGCAATGTTAGACGGAAATAATTACCTCGATAACCACCAAATGGACTTGGATCCGACTGTAGTGATGATGCTTTAACAGGATTCAAACGAGGAAGGCACCATTCTTGATCACGTGGGACAGAGACTAAGACTGGAGGTCCATTCAAATCGAACGGTTTCGTTGTCCAAGGTTGTAAACCAGCAAGTTCATAGTGTAAAGATGTATGAGCAACTAGCCGTTGTATATGTAGGCATGGTTGAAGTCTATAAATTTTTTTAAAAAAACCTTCCTTATAGAGTACCTGTATAATCACGATTTAAAAACACTGTCAAAATCTTACATGTAAATACATATTAAATATTTGATGGGTAATAATCAATAGCAAAATATAAAAATCTTTGAAGGTTCTCACGAACTGTAATAGTACACAATAATTAGTCAATAAATTAGAAATATCAGAATCTGCTGATGCGACTGAATTGGAACATTGGTGAAAAGGTCAAGTTTTAACGGTTGTTTTAGTGATTAAATCATTGAATTCATAAGTATGAACTTAGTCTACCTACTTCAATTTTGAAAATCAAACACTATCACTGTTGATGTATCAGAACGAAAAGTGAAGAAATGTTAAGCCCGAGAACTAGTTCATAGATTTTTAATAATATATATATATATATTGTCATTGCATAATTACTGAGTAAGCTTATGTTCAATCGATTGACTATTGTTGTCGATTTTTTATAGACTGCCTTATTCATAGTCATTTTTGGTTGTTGTGATTTTTCATTTTATAGTTTGATCTGCTCATGTTTGTATATAAACTCACATAAGCTCAAAACAATATAATAGAGGCCGACTCCTGCTTCCTCTCTGGCTAAGAGATAGAGAGGTGCTCACAGATAGTAGACAAAAAGGAGCTTAGCTTGCGTCGGATAAAGGTTAACGGTGCTGGTCAGACGTGTAATTGGTTAATTCTAGGATACTAGGCTACGGAAGAGATAGTAGATGCGGAGAAGTGATAGATTAGAATACTGATTGGTAAATTTAACACATGATCCTGGATTGATTTAACTTAAACCATAACAAATTGGCGATCACAAGACAAAACAAAAAAGTCACTTGAATTCTAAATATTAGAATCTTAACTAATTTATCAAACAACTTAACTAATGGCCGCAATGTCATGTTTGACAGATTGATGTCAGTTTCGCTTCACACAGTACAGTAATTCAATATCTTTTGTAAAATCAACCAGTAAATTCACAGATGTTAATGAAGGACAACGTATTAGTGTTGTGATGTTTAGAGTAAATCCCATCATTGTATAGGTGTTAGAAAAGTTATAGAAATAATTTGTTACACTGAATATAATTGCCTAGTGACATTCTATCATAGTATGAACTTTTAAACATAGTAATATCTATATTTCAGAATAATAAAATGATTTAACGGATGGTTTATAACATTTTTTCTCTCCTTCTGCGATATACTACGCAAAAACGGTGATCTGATAATAAAGCTGGTCTGGATGATTGAGCTTGTAATATCGATAGATTAGAAACTCGAATACAAAACACAGACTAGATCACGTTATATTAGATTCAGGATTTACGATCAAGAATAGCGAGCCAAAGTAACGCTAAATAATACTTGATTCAACATAATCACAAGTAGTCACACCCAGTGACTCTCAATGGGAGCAAAAGAAATCACATATCTAATAATCAGTAAATTGAATCCCACGTTTTACACACTTAATGGTCAATCACATTTACTTTCATTAACACGTATTACACAGTAATACAATACTTACATGCCATCGAATACAGTTATTTCACCTTTACGAAAAGTTGATATTTCCACTGCCAATGAATATTCTGGTTTTGGATAGCCCCATACAAGTAATGAAACCCCAATAACAGTTGAAGGTAATTCATCAACAATTGTATTATTATGATTACGATTATCATAATTTATTACTCCACCACTACAAGTACTACTTATATCAGTCACTGTGTTATTATCAATAGATTTAATGCATTCAGAAAATTGAAACAAATTACAATTTGCCTGTAATTTCCGTGCATTTGCAATGTAAATACTTAAAACACCAGGATCTTGCCGCTTTGATCTTTGTACTGGAGATGATAATTGATCTGAATTATTATCTGATCCGACAGTGGTAACAGAACCAACAGGAGACATAGTAGTATTTATAGGAGGGCTTTGAAGTACACTATTATTATTACTGAGTGAAGTAGGACTAGGTAGAAGTGCAGGTGCTTTATATCTGTAACGATTTTTACATCCTGACACATTAGAATGAGCAATTTTCTAAAATGTAATGAAAATAATTAGATAAATATTATCAACGAATTTTTTTAAAAAAACAATACATGCAACAATATAAACTGGCACATGAGTAAGTTGACAGAAGAGCTAAGATCAGTCAAATAATAATATGGAATCAGTTCATGAATAAATTCATTAATTATAGGAATAGATCATGTAAACCAGTGGAGATTTTTAGCTCAGGTGGATGGTTTAGTCATGGAGCTTTCATTAGTCTTCTGAATAACATCATCAGAACAAACTTCAGGTAGAAGTGAACTATTCGAATTTCTCCATATATGACTCACAGTTTGTCCTGTCGACCTCGATCTTAATAAGTTTTGTTGTAGACAATGACAGGATAAAGGTCGACAATAGCCAATCAAGATCGAGTTCAACAAGACAAGCTGTGAGTTATATCTGAAGAAATTCGAATACTTCACTTCTACCTGAAGTTTGTTCTGATTATATTATTCAGAAGAAGAATGAAAGCTTCATGACCAAAACTCTACCTAAGAGCCAACCAATAAATGTAGACTTCTTGGTTGAAATCGTTTATAATTTAAAAAGCGGCTTGATATGGCTCAAAGTTGACTGAATTAGTGTATAATTGCATTTACTTTCTATCAATGTTCAAATCTTTAGTTTTGTGTCATTCCAATTGTATTTATTCCCATCAAATTAAACTGTGTTCAGTTGGTTTTACTTCAGATATTGATTCGACATGAAATGATAATGCTGACATAAATCGTTGAAGTCATTCGACTTATTTTTGTCTACAGATTGTTTGCTAAAACCACAGGAATATTAGTAACAAAGGGTATAGCTTTTTCTTTTTAAAAAAAAAACGAAGTCAGTACAAAATGAAAATAAAGCAAAATATCCATCAACAACACTTACGGATTTTGACTTATTATCAAAATTCAACATGACAGGTTTGTGTGATTGAGCACGAGAAGACTTCTTATGAATACGAGGGATTTGCGGAGTTGGCAGTAGAGCTGTACGTGATACAGACAAAAGACATGAGATATCTGGTTGTGGTGAAATAATCAAAATGGAACCACTAGCTACAGAGATTGTATCGAGTTTTGAAGCTACATTGGAAGTCAACATCCAACGACATTTTAAAACAGCGTAGGGAATTACATGTTCTAGCTTTGTGCGTAATTCTAAATCTTCATCAAATTCGTATAAATACACCTGAAACAGAAGTGTATAGAAAGATTGTTACAAAAATGATGGTAATTATTATCGTCATGCAACTTACATCATTTCGTGTTTTTAATATCGTGCATAATCTAATCATTAAACTTAGTTTTTGATTGGTTGTCGATCAGTCATAAACAACACAAAACCTAATACACATGTGCATCAGTTTACATTGCTACACAGTAGCTGCTGCCTTGATGTGATGGTCGGGTGTGCCTATCATGATGATCCGATCAAGCTATATTGACTGGAATAGTTGTTTTTCAGGTTCTACCATATCAGGTAGGTCGGTTACAAAACAGTAAGATTAGCGACAACAAGCTTATGGTCTGGGGGCGAAGTCGTATTGCTGACTGTACAACGTTGTGGCGGCTGTAAGGTGTTTTGTCAGGCAACCAGTATCTGCAATGAAGCTACCTTTTTAAAACTGGAGGGTTTAGAAAAGGTTGACTCTAGAAATGTCACACTTTACCTTACCCCACGGATTTCCGTCGTCGGTGGTAAGACTTTTTGAAGTACATGGTAGACAGATAAAAAAACATAAAAAACACCGTATGTGTTCGGCCTCAAGCAATCGTCGTTTAGCCTCTGTAGTTACAATTCCAGTCCGCTAAAACCATTAATAATCCGGTCTCACCTTCCATGGTGTGGGCTGTTGGGAAGTGGCAACCGTACAGGGGTTTCTAACAGTGCTCAAAACTGACTGGGTGACCAACCAGCTTTCCGTTAAGTGACATTCTTTTCTTCAAACCAAAAAAGAGGAAACTCTTCTATTACCACTCTCTCTAGAAATACAATATGACCGGCGTGCAACGTTAGCCCCTATTATTTTCTTAGTATTTTAAGACTTTAATTCATACGATGAGATGATATTTGAAGCAGTACTCACTTTCCCACTCCTGCTAGCACAAAAGCCTACCTGTTCGGTGTCCTGATTTCCTTTCTTCATTGTATTTCATTGTTAGTAACCTTATTAAAAATCCGTCTTTACTTTGATCTCACTAATATACCATTTTTAATGATATGGAAATACAGTACTGACTATCACTTGAATGTTGTAACGTTAGAGCTTTGTGTCAAATCGAACAGCACGCTCCTCTAGTTTAAGAGCTGATACCCCGAGATATAGATGCGTTTTGCGTTTTAGAAGTATACACGCAGGATTTAAGTGTTTATTTTTTTTAACCTTGCAATATATATACATACGTTTGCAAGACTTAGTTTGTCATCAAAAAACCATATACAACTTGTTTTATGATTTGTGTATTTATGTATTACCAAGTCTTCATTGTGTAGTATGCCAGTGTAACTGCACTGGACTTGTCTCAAACCATAACAAAAATTGCGAGAGAACAATATATATATTCCAATAAATCCGAACGACAAAATATATGGTAGCGAAAACATAAGCATTTACATATATTTTATAGCAGAAGCTTCCAAACTATTCTAGGGTCATTCACTAGCGATGGAATTTGTTTGAGATAACATGTAAATCCATGATTGGTGTTAGATGTGTCACCTCTATTGACAGCTTAAAAAGAGCTATCAGGTTATTGTGCAGAATATCAAACTTACAGAGTACAGTTCAGTTCGAACTAATTATGATGCGCGACTATCTATCACTTTTGTCAAAATATATGGGTCAAAGTAAACAAAACTTACTTGAGATAAATGAAATGCTTGTTCCAAAGTTAATTTACTTGGATCTAATAAGTCCATACGAGACCAGGTGGAAACATGGCAAGCATAGCCGGGTTGAGGTTCTAAACGATCTTTGCTATTCTCGGCTTCTGGCGATACAATATACGCTCGAGATTTGATCCAGCGAACCATAATTAAGTAAAGAAATTGGTTACTATTTTTACCCGACAAACGACTTTGTTCTCGAGCGATTGTTAAATCTGCACACTGATTCACTGATAGACCTGGAGATTTTAAATAATGTGAAGTAAAAATTTATAAATTGTCAGGAAACCCGTGACATTTGGACTAGATGTGAGTAGATCCCTGTTAATTGGTTAGTCAGTTGGGTCCTCCATTCCTAAATTCGTAGAAATCATATATATATAAACATTCTACTGAATAGTATGCACCCACCAAATGCCGTGGTACAGCTAAAAGGGGGGAGATTTCACTTTCCTCAGAATCCTCTCATACGATCATGTGTTTATAGCCTCTACCACAGAAATCCTACTCACTAGCTTTACGCAGCGGAAGATGAAAACCAAAGGTCTCCCGCCTAAACAGCCTGTGGATAAGGAGCATTCACCTAAAGGACTCGAAAAATCCTGATTCTGAACCGATTGTAAACACGTACTCCAGGATCCTGAAAAAACGAACAGTGTATGAACCTATTTTGGTTACCGGCTACTCTACTATGGGGTAGCATCTCCTAGAGTTCCTACAGTCTTGTGGATTAGATTTCTAGGTCAAAGACTTCGGAATTTGCCTTCTAAGAAAACTGCCTTAGTCTGAATAACTCGACAATATCTCGGCTCACATAAAAATGGTACACATGACTGAACGTTATTTGTCAGTGTATAATGGATTAGTAGATTAATATAAAATGAAAGCTGAATTGAAGCCAATAATTCTTTAACCAATAACAAATTTTCTCAACTAACACTAACGATTCGTTACTGAATAAGAAAATCAAATTTGAAAACACAAAGTAATTAAGAAAGAATACATCTGAATAGATCAAACACTCACCTAACTTTTGTTGGCCAAGCCAAGTATCTGGATCATTACCAGGAATAAGACCATCACTAGCGATTTTCTCAACATCATTCCAATTATTAACTACTAAAAAACCAGTACATAAACTTGATTCTACGCCTGTAACAATATTGTTGATAGGATTTTTTTGAAATCTTTTACGAGCTTGAGAAAATAAATCTTCTAATGTTTTATTATGAATAAACCAAGCTTTTTCAACATCAAAATAAGATGAAAGTTGAGGAAAACGAAAACTCTGATTAATTTGAGGATAGATTTCTTCGGAATAATCCACAGAATTTAAGTCAACATTTTGAAGAAGTGCTATAAGTTAAACAAATGAAGAAAACAAAAAAACAATTATATCATAAAACTGAAAATGATATTTACTTTTGAAAAGGTTATTATTATAAATTGAGAAGTAAAACTCCATGAATTAACAGAAATGATCGGTTACACTTAAGTAGAATGATCTTATTGAAATGCTAGTTATTTTGAATTGAAATAAGAATACAAACCAACGTATAAGACAAATTTTATTTATTTATTTATTTGAAAAAATAGATATTGGTACAAGCGGGCACCAGATACATATACAAATTAGTGGCCCGGGTTCTGACTCCAATGTGATTGTGTTAGAGGGACATAGACTGGATTAAAGCATGCTCAATGCACGATTGCTTTGGCGCATGCTGATTGACTAATTCTTATCCAATCTGCACTAGTGAATACTTGGAGAATACTCTGGAATCTTCTCATGTAAAAACTATAAATATACTAACGTTTCCCCTATTGTGCTTCTTACTTCCATCTAACTTTGTTATTTGGAATATAATCTCTTTTCTGTTCAACCGTGTTCTGATTTGGGGACTTGTCGAGTGAATCGGTGTCCGAGAATACTAAGCAATAGGAATAGCTGGGTCATAACCGTAAGGAAGAGATTATGACAGATTGTAATGATGATTGTTGTTGAAATATATATGTCGCCTATCCTCGTATATAATCATCGACTTAAATTGCGTTAGTCACTAACGGAATTAAAAATGTCGAATAACGAGAACGGACTTGTGAATACATATATTTTGTATATAAACCGAATGGAATAGAGAGAAGAGAAACGAAGCGGAGGGCAGATGGCTGGTAGCCAACTCCTGTTTAACCAAGCGTTAATCAATATTTATAGTTACACAAAAGTAAGTTACAAACATGTGATGAGTGATGGGATAAGAAACGTACACACACCTACGCACTCATATAAAAGCAGTCAAGATTGATAAGCGAATAAATAACAAGGTCAGGATGTGACTCAAGTAGGATGAATAGAATGGGCTGTCCGAAAGCTAGAATAAGGTATACGGGCTTAACATAATAACCGACAATACAGCACCACAAAAATCTCATTTGATTTGTGTGAGGGTTGTGATAATGATCGGGTGCCCAAACCGAAGCACGTGGTTTTCTTAGGAGGCCACACTCAGAGACTTCCACCTAAATGTCTGATCCACAAGGTAATGTAGCATCGTAAGGAGATGCACTTACACGGTGGCCGGTAGCCAACGATTGGTTCATACGCCACTTGTTGCTTCAGAATCCTGGAGCCCATGTGGACCATTTGTTTGGAATCAAGGTTTTTCAACTCCCTTACGTAGACTCTCCGTATCCACCAACACAGTTAAAGAGACGGACATTCGGTCTTCGTCCTCAATTTCGTAAACAACACCCCCGCCATGAGAAGGCAATGAGTAGGACTTCCCTGGCAGAGGCTATGGCCATATGAGAACATCTGGAGATGGAGAGTGGACTCTCCCCACTCTCGGCCGTACCAGAGCATTTGGAGACAAATTTTACTGACTAGTGAAATTTTTGTTCTATTTAACAATTAAAGTGAATCTATTAAACACACATCATTTCATAATTTCATTGTTTTTTTTAGTGGCAAAGCAGGAAAAAGTCACAAGGAAGAAAGATATTGAAATAGATCACTTAAGAAAAAAACAGGAATCAATATGGAACCAATACGTACAAAGTAGTAGTATACATTATTACTAGTTTTGATCAATCGCATACCGGCGAATACCGAAATTTATCATCAAATATACTATATTTAGAAATCTTGCAATTTATCATATGACTGTAATAGTTGGTGACTTCACACACACACGCGCATTACATTTTAACCTAAATAACCAGAAGTCGCTATAAGGCTGAATCAAACTGTTATTGATAAAACCACTCACATAAAATGTAAATAACAATTTAGGATTATTGAAGGTTCAACATAACTCATATCAACTCACAACCGCCACAACGTTGTACAGTCAACAATAAGACTTCACCCCAGACCACAAGTTTGTTGTTTATAATCTTACTGTTCTCCAATCGAACTACCTGGTATGCTAGAACCTAAAAACAACTACTCCAGCCAATATAGCTTGATCGGATCATTATGATAGGCACACCCGACCATGACATCAAGGTAGCAGCTACGGTCAGGACTATCAGTTAAATAAAACATGGTGGTCACAACGCCGCCATAATACATGCAAGTTATTAAATATGGTTAGGTCGATTCCTGATGCCATCAAAACATGTTTTATCAAGTATGCTGAATCAATAGGTTACTATATGGTAATACGACTTTGCAGGCACAAATCCCTATACTATCAACCAACGAGAAACTTAAATCAATGGTTTCCGATTTTTACATAAGCTAGTGGCCCCCAAACGCCCTATTACGGCCGAGGGTGGGGAGAAATGCTCTCCGTTTTCAAATGCTCTCACGTGGACACACATATACAGCCAGTGACACGGAAGTCCTACTCACTGCCTTTTCGAGACGGGGTTTTGATTAAGAAATTGCGAAAAGCGAATGTCCGGAGCCCTGACCGGGTTGGTGAACGCGGAGGGTCCACTTAGGGGAGTGAAAAAACCCTGATTCCAAACCAATTGTGCACATGGGCTCCAAGATCCTGAAGGGAGGAATGATGTATGAGCCAACCGTTGGTCGCTGGCTACTGTGGGACTATCTCCTGACGTTGCTCCACTGCCTTGTGAACCAGACCTTTAGGTCGAAGTCTCCGGGTGTGGCCCCCTGAGAAAACCACGTCCTTCGGTTTGGGCACCCGGGCAGTATCATAGCCCACACACAAATCAAGCGACTAGTGTGGCGCACATGTATTCGGTGCCCCTTTGTACCAATATTTATGTGTTCAAATAAATAAGTAAATCAGTGTCTTAGACGATACGTCCATATAAATGATTCACAAGATATCCTTTCCCATAAACATAAAGACAATTAACTACCGAGCTAAGTCATATCATAGAAAAAGTCTAAACGAATTACACTTGTCACTACAATTATAAAGAACGACGTAGAGCAGCAAGTATTCCTTGGACAATTTTTATCAATCAACAAATTTCCGGCATCTTCGTATTTTATTTTTATACCGTATAAGAGAACTTTTAAGAATACACAACGGACACTTATAAGTCCATGAAGATTTACTTCACAGTCGATTATCAACTTTTCAATAGTCAGTCATGAACGCAGAGCTTAGCACAAATGTGGATTGAGCCAGGTCATATCAAAATAACACGATGAAACGAACTTAACAAGATGAGTAGTAAAGAGGTCTAAATGGTTTGGCGGCAATAGCAATGAAAAAGACTAAACAATAATAACATGGTCCGAAAAGACCTGAATGAAGGTATATATGAAGGAATATAGGATCTTAGGATCTATAGGGAAATAAGGAACGTGGCGCCACTGTGACCAGTACCGAACAAATTCAACAAACATACAACCATTGATGGAAGTTATCATACAAACCCCAACTAAGTGATCGGTATCTTACATGATGCAGAATAACAAACAATGACGTCACGGACTGATGTTATGTGGCTGTTTGGTCTCCAGTAGCTTCCCCACTGGTTACTTTTACATCAGCTGGCATTACTCATCGAAGGAGGTGGTGGTTGGGCATAAGAAATACATGTCCCGAACACTCCCAGTTAACGAATCTCTACAGCATCACCAACCGACTAACTGTCCTTACCTAGATTACTCGTTGGTTCCAATATTGATTTGTTTGGACACAAAAATATTGGTACGAAAGACACCAAATAGATATGCGCCACACAATAACAATGAGAATGTGGACAGATAGAGAATGCAAAGTGCGTATGAGAAAAAGGGGAACAATAACGGACAGAAATTAGTGTATGATGGTGAAATAATAATAGTGGGACAGTTCAGTTAGTAAAGGTACAACCAGAACAAATTCTTCCAATTAAAGTTACATCCACATTTTATAAAGAAAATAACGTCTTAGGCCACTGTTTTGCACCATCTTTAGGACCCCAACTACCGAGTCGTGAAGGTCCAGTCAGTCAGTCAGCAACAACGTAGAACTTCGTACGTACGTACGTACATCAGTTCGAGTTGCTACACCACATTAGCACAGAGGTACAATTGTCGATTCAAATCCTGTGAAGGTCCAACAGAAGCCAGTCCTGCATAGCTTTCTTCCATACAACGACACCGTGTCACACACTGACCACCTCTCCGATTCTTCCAACTGCTCCCAGCATCGGCAAATAATTCACGGTGTGGAAGTCTCTGTGACGACATTTGTAGAACATGTCCAAGTCACCGAGGTCGGTATTTCAAGACAGTGACACCGATTTAAGTATCGTCGCTGTGCCCGAACACACGATGCCGAACCTCTGCATTACTAACATGTTGTTGCCACTGGATGTCAGCAATCCTTCGGAGACAACGATGATCAATCACAGAGTCGTCTAACATTTCCGAATCGGATGCCAGGTTTTACAAGCATAGAGGAAAACTGCTTTCACCAACGCGTTGTAGATCCGACCTTTGACAGTCAGGCTGGCATCACGAAGGCGCCAAAGATGACCCAGATTGGCATAAACCTCTCTGGCTTTCACTATACATGGATTGATCTCATCACTCACGCCACCACCAGCAGCTATTCAGCTACCCAGATACACGAGCTTCTCGACTACTTCTATCTGCTCACTACACAGGATGAGTGCAGATAGGTGTTGATGGAAAAAACTAATGACCTATGAATATCCTTTATTTCTAAACGCTACTTTTCAGTATTAAAGTGAAACGAATCGAACTTCCACCCAGTAAACGCGTCCTTTGGTTGGAAGAAAGACATCTCGCCTATGCTGCACGTAATGCAAGTTGGTATAAAGCCATCTGCGCTTGATGAATCCGTATCCAGATTTTGTAAGACACAAATCAATCAGAGCCGATCACACTTTTGAGATGTGTGGAGTGGTCATCACACTCAACTAACTCACTTTCTATTATTATTCCAGGTGTTGACATAGACCAGTCCTGAAGCAACAATATACATTTAGACGGAAGGTAACGCAACTCAAATATGTCGCCATTATTACGAAAGGCGGTCAAAAGACTGTATTTTGTCAGCTTCCTGATGAAACGGGACTGTCACCGCTAAATGCGCTAGTACAGCCGAGAGCGGAAAGAGTCAGCTCATCTCTAAATGCTCTCACATGGACACGTGCATACAACCACTGCTAGGAAAGTCCTACTTAATACCTCGCGGCATTACTGTTGTTTACGAAACCGATGACGAAGACCGAATGTCCGGCTCTTTAACTGTGTTGGTGGACACGGAGAGTCCACCTAAGGGAGTTGGAAAACTCTGATTCTAAACCAATCGTGCATATGGGCTCCAGGATTCTGAAGCAACAAGTGGCGTATGAACCAATCGTTGGTTACTGGCCTCCTAAGAAAAGCACGTGCTCCGGTTTGGGTACCCAAGCAGTAGCCCAGCCCCTACACAAATCGAATTATCTATGTGGAGCACGTCTTTTTGGTGCCTCCTTGTACCAATGCTTATGTGTTTAAATAAATAAATAAAGTATCACTGATAAGTGAATCTGTTCAAGTAATTCTTCATAATTTAGATATTGTATGACTTCCGCACTTACCAGTATCTGAATATTCTTGCTACAACAATCATATGTTTCATAGATATATAGAATCACTACTTAAACTGCATCAAGAAACCAATATACATATGTCATTGGTCTCTGATCAAATGATGTGTGAAATGGTTTCAGTAGTGTTGAAAGATATTATGTTTCATGATTTGAAAACTCTTGTAGGGAATGCTCAAAATCCATCGCTACATAAAAAACTGATCTACATTTTTCCCCGCACTCAATTCCAAGTATACTACCGTTCTGTCATCCTATTTCAAATTTGTCAAATAGACTATGAATAATCTATAGGCTTACTCTTTATGAACTTACGGGAAAAACATCAATCTCAGTAAGCTCACTATACGCCGCTGCTTCACCTTCTTTCTTAAGTGGTTTTAACACGGTAAATTGTTGCTTCAATGCTAACGCGAATAGAAATTCTCTGCTAATAGGTGTGACTATGTTTATTTGTAGGCATGGTATGCTACGATTGTTTCAGTTTCACAAGACGTTTTTATAATATATCTCTAACCATACATCCTAAGAAAGGAATGCACCACGGCAAAGGCAGTAGAACATTAGTGAATCTCCAATAACATACCCATTCAAACGAGCATATTAATTAAAAGCGCGTGACTTGGAGACCTTCACGACAATACCAGTGGGAATAGCTTAAAATTCATGTATACCACAAAAGGATTAGTGGACCCTCAATAATTAAGTGATACTAGCAAAACATGAGGCAACAGGAAAAGCAATGCAACCCAGACTAAAGACGACACAAACAGTTGAGTTTCCACTTACATAAATTACTCTGCTTTTTCGGAACCTTAAAGGAATTGAGGGCTTCCAGGCCAGCTAAAACAGATGCTTTCCTTCTGTAGGAGGATCTCTTACGAGAAGACATCAGTCATACCAACATTTTAAGATAGGCGCTAACCATTAAGTGTAACCACATATTTTCAATTTTCACATGTACATTCAATGCGCATAGATAAGCATCCTTTCTCAGTGGTCGGTAAAAGTACGATACCTAAACTGTTCAAACGGTTTTGAACGGAATATTGAAGCTTTCGCCTAACGGACCTCCGTATCTAGTAACTGTGGATCACCAACATCTCCAGATAGGAACCTGGGTATATTTGAAGATACCACAAGTACTCCAGTTTGACAACGCCGTAATCAGTAAAGCTTTTATAGTCAGAGTATTCTGAACCAAGCAAATCAGAATTCAGGAATACAGGAGTTCGGAGATATGTTTGTAAGTCTGTCGATATGTCGAAGTAACGTTTGGTCTAAGCTGCCTAGTAGTTGAAAGGGATGCATGGCACTAAGTACCCACCAGTTATATGGTGCGAATGCGTGACCAAGTGTCTTCAACTGAATGTGTCCAAGAAAACCAATGTGGTCAACATAAAATGTCGAAAACTTGCAGGGCTGTTGAGTTTGGTTATTTATTTACCTCTATATATTTAAAGGCAAAAGAAATATTTTCGTAAATTAAGTTGGGATGCTGTCCTGATTCGTTAGGAATATGTCACGATTTTTCTCAACTGACTCCTGGGAAATCCCTCTGAAGACCTAACCAGACAAAGGATTCTAGAATTCGGCTGCTCGTAAAGAGTAAGAAACGTATCAACAGTCCACTCACATGTGTTGTCTCGCTCATTTCTGCACGTCGACCCTGAGGTTTGTGTTCGGACCAAGATAAAGTGAGTATCTAAGGCAATGTCCAAAAGTGTTTAGAATTCTATAAATCATTATAAGGTCAAATCTGAAACGCCCATAACCTAGTTGGTGAATACTCATTGATATAAGGCGCTCTCCATAAGATCTGGATTTGAATTGTCGACCATTTTCCGTTCGATTAGTGTGTCAGTTAATCACACAGGAGTGTGAATTTTACTGCAAACTACACTTTAGTCATATAAAGCCATCTCCATATGTCTTCCGTGAACACATTTCTGAGACTGATCTCAACTCACCGGATGAAGTGAGCAAATGAAGTGATAGTTAGATTTTGAAATAAAAAAACATCGTGAATGTTTTGCTCCAATAAGTATCAGATGTTAAATGTCGCACGTTATTTAGACATTGGAGGGACAGTACGCTACAAATCTTAATGAGACGTCTCGTATAGAGCCCGAAATCCAGTGTCAACCCTGAATAAAGTAGTTGGATGTATAGTCACATACACAACCCTGTAAAAAGTATCCTACTGCCGAACCATTAGTCAAGGAAAACAAATAAATTTTTGTCATGAGAGCTGAAGGGTTGATTACAATCACCGATACTCAATGTTTGGTGACGCTACCATCCGAAGCCTCTTCTTATCCAGAGATCTCAAAGCCAATCAAACTAAGATTCAGGGACGATTGAGTGAGGTGTATATGAAGCGAACATCGGCAATGTATCCCATAGAATAAAAGCCGACTGGTTATCTTGATAGATGCCCAAATTTGCCTACCCAAATGTGGTCTAGTGTGAACATTTAACTGAAAGTCTTTAGCTAAGGAGTCATAAAGTGAATAACAAAAATACACAGAAACAAGCACATTGACTCTTCTAATTCACATTCTTTTCTTAATATTTTCCAAATCATCCTCAAGAAGAAGTAAAGAAAACCTATCAAGCGTTTCACAAGTCTATATTATCACAAACAAGTCAAATCTGGGATAAAAATAATCGGGACTTTTGCCCATAAACAACATGCGACGATGAAAAATATTACACACACGGAAAGGTTGGTATTTTGTTGTAGTGCCAAATAAATTTCGAAAATAAATAGTCCCGTAATTCTTCGAGATTAATTCTGATGTCATTAGTTCTACTGTACGAATCTCCACTGAAGGCACTTGACAACGCATCCGCACCAGATCACTTTTGGTACACTATACCGTACATACCTTGTAACGTCCGGTCAGTTTCGACTACATGCTCCCCAACGCATTGACAATTTTGAACCCTTTCTTTCCTGTCTTCTGATCTGACTAGCTTTAGAATCTTCGACCACGATGTTTCTGATGACATCGTCATCAGGCAGTGAGTGCTGGTAACATATTCAGTTTAACACGGAATTTTATATCTTTGCTGACTAAAATACGAGTCTTGAAAACTGTAGAACACGAACAAAGAGAGATGTAGGAATCAGCTGCAGAAATGTCATACAAACGTTGGTCTAGGTGTTTTAGAAGCCTCGCAGATATTCCAGAGACTGTGTAGCAAGAGCCAGAGACGTTTTCTTGTGTTTCCTGACTTTAAGATATTGTATCCTAATCACATGATTTGTGTCACTGTGATAATTAGGAGTATTTAAATTATAGTATGAACTAGGAATCCCAAAAATAATGCAATTGGATCAAGAAGTACAAGATAAGCATGAACGAATGTACTGTGTTTGGGATTCAAAAACAAGCGTCCAGCAAGTTCAAAGGAATCATTAGTTCATTCAAGCACCAGCCACTCGGTTGTTAGTTGAGAAATTCAACAATGAAAGAGTCGCCTTCTAAGTAAACGACAGTCAGCCAGTCGACTTATTTTCTAACCATCGTTTAGTACTTGGGTTCACGATTAAAACCTTCATACCGTCCGACGTATGCCAAATTGGGGGGGTCGGAGTAATGAGTCACGACTTGTGAAAACTTGTGCATTTAATCATAGAGTGGGTAATAAGAAAACATCAGTTGATTGTAGCAAAGTGTGTCAGGTTTAACTGAACACTTCGCACTTGTAATCTGGCTCACGTAGAAGTTAAGATTCACACACATCAGATGATGGATCTACGGATCCACCTCAAATTCGAAGGGTCGTGCAATAAACGAGTTCGCGTTTTGTGCATTTGTCGTCGGTTTTCACTGCATTTGAAATTCGAAACCTGAAAAAACTATCTAACTTTGCTCTTCGACCCTTCTTCCATTAACTGAGGCCTGTATTCCGTTACAATTCTTTATCTCTTATTGGCTTATCTGAAGTTCCTTCATTGTTTGTTTTCAGCATGCTAGTAGACACAATGTGGCCTCGCGCACTACATAAAACTAAGTTTCACCAACTATCTTTTGTTGGCAGTGCTTCTATGTTTTCAACTCCATTTCCACTCGGAATACGCTAAGATGAAATTTAGGGGAGATGTGTAGTGGCATTAGACAATAGCCACACAATCCACAAAGCTGTGAACACGAGACTACTCAGAAAATAGATATTCAATATCTAACGCGGAGAAATACCTAACAATGGAGAAGGCGCGAACAATGAATCGAATGGACTGGAGTTGATCGAGTGGCATGGCTCGGCCACGCAGGCGTGGTCTCTGCTGAATGTTACCTTATATCTTCTATTCATATTAAATATATTGTTCTTTCTCTAGCCTAACCTTGTTCTACATCATGTATTGGTAATTGATACGATACAGTGAGTTGGTGTAGTCGATGGTGTGACTTCCACGTAAGATCTTATAGATTAGGCAGTTATATCATGACAAATCTACAAATTTAGGATTAGGTCTATTATTAGAGCAGTACTAATATCATAGTAGACCATAATTCTACAGATGCATGTTCATCAAAGTTACAGTTTACCCAGTAACAACACATAAATCCATTAATTAACTTGTTTATATATCTGCAGAATCAAGGTCTACTTCGTTACTAGTACCATTATAATAATAGATCTAACCCTAACATTGTAGATATGTCATGATGTGACTGTCTAATCTATAAGATATTACATGGAAGTCGCGTTATTGTCTATACTGACTCATCGTATCGCACCAATTAACAACATGTCTGGAGTTTCTGAAGAACACATTTAGGCTAAAGATAGTATAATATATTAAATATGAGTGTAACGACTGAACAACCAATATTCGGTTGGAACAACGGACTGACGAACCCAAAATTTATTCGTTTAGACCAGACCACGTTCCTCTGTGCAGCTCACAACGCATTTTTGAGATACTCGTATTATATTATATCAAAACACAGACTCTGTGCTCAATATAAACGGTTCTAATTTAGAAAACAGAAAAACTTACATCAAAAACACAAAATACGTCAAACGGTACAGTCTGTGCTATACAGTCAGAAGTTTCTCTAACGCAAATAGCGCACTAAACAATGAAAGAGACAGTTAATACTAAGGGGTTTGATACCTAAGAACCAATAAAAATATTCCCAACAAGATGGGACCAAATATCAATCCGCAGGGATCCCAGCAATCCTCCCAAGCAGACGATCAATAGGTTAACAGTCACACACTGAACCACGCCGTGACCTTGATCCTAGTCAAACCCGACCTTACTGTCAATGGTCCGGCAACATGTAATAGAAAATCAGGTAACGAAAGATAAGTCTTTAATCAAAATCACGTGATAAAGGCTCAAACGAGGGAGACTGAAGAACAAAAGATATGGTTAAACGAGATCGGAACAAAGGTTAAAATACACAACAGAGAGAAGGAACAAATAAATGACAATACTGTTGAACAAAGAAGCTTCAGAGGGATTTTCATCGTTCTCTTTCCGTTACAGTGAGTAAAGACGAGTTATACAGAATGAACACATTTGCGAGGGTGAGTCATGTCATCTGATTGAATGCCTGAGTATTCCGTGTTCATAATTGTCGGCCTTCGATTGGTGCTAAACATTGAACATCTATTTTCTCAGTTATCTCGTGTTCAGCTGTGAGGATTGCTTGGTTAGGGCCCAATGTCACTACAGGTTCTGGCTAATCCAGAATAGTCTCTGCCTTAATTTCCAGAGTGTGGTTACCTTGAGTATAAATGGTATCCACAATAAAGTAGAGGGATTTAGTTCCGATCCGATATTTCGAGGTGTTTACATTAGAGCCACACTTTTGAGTCGCTGAACAGAAAGGTCCAGACGCTCGCAATGGAATCCTATGCCTACATTAT